AAAATGTTTATGAGAATGATTCCTAGACACAAGGATTTTGTGTATAAAGTTATTTAAAATAATTGAAGTTATAGATTCAGAGTAATAGTATCTTTGGGGAATGGAGAAATATTTAAAGATCAAAAAACAACAAAATTTGAGTTGTAGGAAAGTTTTCTGTGATATTTCACATAAAGTAAATTTTATTTGGAAGGAGAGGCCACAAAACACTTTGAATATCCAAAAATCATACTTGCCTAGCCCCTGGAGAATCTCGGTTTAATGGACTTAGATTTATCTTTCTTTTTTTAAAACTTATGTTTTGTGTTTTGGACAAATGGAAGTTTTGTTACTGACAGGTAACTGTGAGTGTTACCTGTGCAGAATAGGAAGCAGTGAGGCATGGCTGAGAGAGTAACATGGGTGGGTGTGGGTAAGTGTAATGGGGAGATTTACAACACGGAAAATATTTGTAGGCAGAAATGGATTTTGGAACTATCTATACAGCAGTCATTATCATTTATGCCTATTTAATCTATTTGAATGTGGTACTTCAGCAGAGGAGTTTTGCATTTCATTGACAGTAATCCATCCAAATGCCTTTTGCAGCTTAACATTGGTATCCCTTCCCTGACAAAGTGTTGCAACCAACACGACAGGTGCTATGAGACCTGTGGCAAAAGCAAGAATGACTGTGATGAGGAATTCCAATATTGTCTCTCCAAGATCTGCCGCGATGTACAGAAAACACTAGGACTCACTCAGCATGTTCAGGGTAAGGATGTTCTGATGGCTTGGGGATGAGTGTACTTTTTAAAGTTTTATCAAATGCTTTATGTTTTAGTATAGGGTTTATCAATAGAAATCTTTCACATATATTATCTATTGTGACACAGACTTCAATTTTCTGAGGTGAGGAGCTGATGATTTTGTAATCTAAAATGATTTATAGTCACAGAAGCAAAAAGCATTAGGAAACCTTGGGAGAGTAGGGGTGTCTAAGGCCAAGAGAGAGAAGAATTCATCTACCTTGTACCCTAAAATATATCTCCAATCATCATGTAACAACCTAAAGTAGCTAATGTTTGAAACTCTGATTCCAGTTGTCTTAGTCCGTCTGGACTGCTACCATAGACCGGGTGGCTTACAGACAACAGAAAGTTATTTCCTACAGTTCTGGAGGCTGGGAAGTCCAAGATCAAGGCACTAGCAGATTTGGTGTCTGATGAGGACTCATTTTCTAGTTCGCAGCAGATGCCTTCTAACTGTGTCTTCACTTAGTGGAGAGGACTAGATAGCTCTCTGGGGCCTCTTTTATAAGAGCACTAATCACATTCACCATCCTTTTGAACTTAAACACCTCCAAAGGCCTCACCTTCTGATTTCATCACTTTGGAGGTTAGGATTTCAACATGAACTCCGAAGAGACACAAACATTCAGACCATACCATCAGTGAATTTAAGAGTATTGCACACTGGATTTGGAGTAGGAATTTCTAGAAGACTTGTCTTTACCTGTTTCTGTTGGGAAGGTCCCCAGATGACCCCCAGGTTCAGTGATTTACCAGGAGGACTCATGGGACTCAGCATATAGTTGTACTCACTGCCATGAGGTATTATGGTGAAGAGATACAAAACCAAACTAGCAAAGGGAAAGGGCCCTTTGGTGTCATTTTTAAAAGGAGAATGATGATACTCACCTCATAGAGTTGTCATAAGGATGAAACGAAGTATTTGTGGAAATACAAATAAATCACCATTCAAATACTAATAGTTATAATATTTCTCTACTGTCAAGCCAAAGAACATATCATACACTGAAATCAGAAGAGGCAAGGCAGGAAAGGAAAATAACATTTTAAGCACTTATCATAAGATACTGTGCTAGATATTTTATTCATGTTTTCATTTGATGCCAACAGAAACCTAAAGAGGTAGGTGGTGTTATCCCCATTTTTCAAGGAAGGAAACGAAGGTTTAGAAAACAGTAACTTGCCCCAAGTGAGCATTTAGCCTGACTTTAAAATCTGTGTTCTGTCTATTACACAGTATTCTCCAAATAGTCTCATATTATAGCCCTGATTCTAACATCCTAATAATTCATGTCAAGGAAGAAATCTCTGCTGCAGGTAATCTTGAATTCACAGCCTCTGTCTCCCTTTGCAGCTTTTGGCTAAAGTAAACTAGCTGTAAACCTGAAGCATAGATGGATTTATTTCCTGTTTTCTGATTTAAGAAGAATGTGAAACCAATAATCTTGTGACCTCCTATTTAATAGTCATAGCCTCTCCACTTCTGTGGTTGGTTGTTTCTTAATGGCACCGTCTTTTGGAGAACTTTGAAAGATTTTGTAATGACAGGTTTCTTCCTTAACATGAATATTTTGAAACTAAAAGTATTTGGATAACTAAAAGTCACTCTGTGCTATATCTCTTTTAGTGTAACATGTTAAGATAATCTCACCTGGATGTTTCAGGTTTCTTAGAATAAGAAAAGTAAATAAATCACCTTTTCACAGTCTTAAAAAAATTTAAAAACCTGACTAGGCCGGGTGCAGTGACTCACGCTTGTAATCCCAGCACTTTGAGAGGCCTTGGCTGGTGGAGCACTTGAACCCAGGAGTTTGAGAGCAGCCTGGCCAACATGGTGAAACCCCAACTTTAATAAAAAATACAAAAATTAGCCAGGTGCCTGTAGTCCCAGTTACTCAGGAGGTTGAGGTGGAAGAATCACTTTAACCCAGGAGGCAGAGGTTGCAGTGAACCAAGATTATGCCACTGCACTCCAGCCTGGGCAACAGAGTGAGGTGAGACCTTGTCTCAAAATAAATAAACAAACAAACAAACAAACAAACCTGACTGGGGAAAAGTACTTTTGATTTCTATGCTCCCATATCCCCAAGTCAAATTAGGACATTCGTCAAAGAGATTGGATTCCGTTTACTTTAAGCCTCTTAACTGATGTATGATCAGTCCTTAGAAGCCATTGGCCATAATGAAATGTTTTGAGGTTTCAATTTTTACACTTTGTTTCTTCCGCACCTAAAACATTTTTTCTTAAAATGCAAATTTAAGAGTATTATCAGACATCTCTTAGTGATTATGTTTTTCAAATAAAAAGAAAGTTAACACTGATTAATCAGTGCTATTTTAAAAGACTCTTACTTGTCTAATTTAAACAATTGGGCCAAGCATGGTGGCCCACGCCTATAATCCCAGCACTTTGGGAAGACAAGTTAGGAGGATTGCTTGAGACCAGTCTGGGCAACATAGTGAGACCTCATCGCCACTTAAAAAAAAAAAAAATTAGCTGGGTGTGGTGTTGTGTATCTGTTTAAAATTAAAAATTAAATTTAAAAAATTTAAATTAAAAATTAGCTGGCCATGGCAATGCCAGCTACGCAGGAGGCTGAGGTGGAAGGATCCCTTTAGCCCAGGATGTGGAGACTGCAGTAAGCTATGACTGCACCATGACACTCCAGTCTGGGTGTCAGAGTGAGACTCTGTCTCAAAAAAAAAAAAAAATTGGATTGAACAGTTAAATGTATACAAAAAGTAAGATGCATGATAAAGAGACTAAAACTGGAAGTCTGTAGATATCTACATGTATGTATGTAAATATGCTACAGCTTGTGAGAGTTTGATGACTTTCATCTAGAATACATTTCAGTGCTCATGAGGGATATGCTTGTTGCTGTGCCGTAATGTGTAACACAGGTGAAAAGAGAGCAATGCAGTTGCCCAACAGTAATCCCATTTCCTTATTTTGCAGCATGTGAAACAACAGTGGAACTCTTGTTTGACAGTGTTATACATTTGGGTTGTAAACCATATCTGGACAGCCAACGAGCTGCATGCAGGTGTCATTATGAAGAAAAAACCGATCTTTAAAGGAGATGCTGACAGCTGTTGACAGATGAAGATGGAAGAACAAACCTTTGACAAATAATTAATGTTTTTACAACATAAAACTGTCTTATTTTTGTGAAAGGATTATTTTGAGACCTTACAATAATTTATATCTTGATGTTAAAAACCTCAAAGAAAAAAAAGTGAGGGAGATAGGGGAGGGCACACTTGTCTTCTCAGGTATCTTCTCCGGCATTGCTTCCTAACTTATTATGCCAAACGTCTTGACCAATACCAAAAACAAGTGCTTGTTAAGCGGAGAATATTTGAAAAGAAGAATATAAACTCAATTTTCACAACCGTATTTACCAAAAAGATCAAATATAAAATTCATAAGGTCTATGCAACATTATCTTATTTGGAAATATGGGGAAATTATTACTTACAAGTATTTGTTTACTATGAAATTTTAAATACACATTTATGCCTAGAAGGAACGGACTTTTTTTTTTTCTATTTTAATTACACATAATATGTCATTAAAGTACAACATAATATGTTGTTTCTCTGTAGCCCGTTGAGCATATGAGTAAGTCCCATTTCTATTAGGACTACTTACAAGGACAAGGTTTCCATTTTTCCAGTTGTAAAATTGGAACCATCAGCTGATAACCTCGTAGGGAGCAAATCCAGGATAGCTGAGTATTATGTAATATGCCTAGAAGGTGATGTGAATGTGATTCAGAAGCATAGCCACTCCTATTTTATGAGCTACTCACATGACAAATGTTATCTTTTGCTATAACCTTTGTTAAGTTGGAGAAAAGATGGATTTAATGAGATAAATGAAAAGATACTTAACATAATACATCAGGGCACTATTTGCTGTTATGCCTTGTTATTTATTTCCCAGCACTTGTTTCTTATCATAGATTTTTTTTTTCTTTTTCTTTTTTTTTTTTGAGACGGAGTCTCTCTCTGTCGCCCAGGCTAGAGTGCGGTGGCGTGAACTCGACTCACTGCAAGCTCCGCCTCCCGGGTTCGCGCCATTCTCCTGCCTCAGCCTCCCGATTAGCTGGGACTACAGGCGCCCGCCACTACGCCCGGCTAATTTTTTTGTATTTTTAGTAGAGACGGGGTTTCACCGTGTTAGCCAGGATAGTCTCGATCTCCTGACCTCGTGATCCGCCCGCCTCAGCCTCCCAAAGTGCTGGGATTACAGGCGTGAGCCACCGCGCCCGGCCTCTTATCACAGATTTTTTAAAGACTATAACCTTTTACTAACTGTGGTCTTACTAAAATTTGTGCTTGATACTGCTTTTCAGTATCAAAGCATCCCTTTTAACTAGAGCCAAAGGGATGGAAAAGGCAAGATATAAATAACTGCCTCTTGTAGATCTCCTATTTACATTGAAAATTATTACCATATGTTTAGAGCAAATCCCAGAAAATTTCAACAGCTTCTGAAGATGTCTATGAATGTGGAAAACTTTTCAATCTCTTGGAATGCTCAGTTATGTTCCTAGACTGGTCTTTTCTGACTACTGGTTGTTAACCTTTCCGTAGCCCAGGACCTCAAGCCATATATATCCTTTGGGTATAACCCATGGCCAAAGTTATTAAGATGAAATGACTTTCAAAGTCAGAGAAGGACAGCATAGGGAGAGGCGGTTCTTTGTAAGTCATTACAGGTAGAACAGGGCAGAAGGAAAAATATGTTCTGGAGAAAGGGCCATGTTCCTAACTTTGGAGATGTGTCATTGCCAGGAACCTAGTATCTTCCAACTTGAATTGGTGGCAGCTGTTCCACTGAGACAAGGCGCATGTATGCCTTGTGGCTAAGTGAGCAAACTGGGCTTCCTCTTAAATGTTTGGAATCCTCAATTGATTCTTTATTTCAAACCTTTATAAAAGATACAGTTTTGTAAGCCATTATTAATAATTAATGCTTATCGGCCAGGCATGGTGGTTCATGCCTGTAATCCCAGCACTTTGGAAGGCTGAGGCGGGTGAATCACTTGAGGTCAGGAGTTTGAGACCAGCTGGCCAACATGGCGAAACACCATCTCTACTAAAAATAGAAAAATTTGCCGTGCGTAGTGGCACATGCCTGTAGTCTTAGCTACTCGGGACACTGAGGCAGGAGAATCACTTGAACCCAGGAGGTGGAGGTTGCAGTGAGCCAAGATCGTGCCACTGCACTCCAGCCTGGGCAACAGAGCAAGACTATCTTAAAAAAAAAACAAAAACTTAATGGTTTATCAATATTTATTATTGAAATACTTGTCCAGGTAACTTTACACTTATAATGAATTCATGAATTTTGTTAGCAGCATTGGCTTTCTCAAAAGGACAAACTCAGAATATCTTTATAAAGTATAATTCATGATCACAAATTACACAAAAATCAGTAGAAACAGTTTTTATGTTCAGATTTAAAAAAAAAACTTGGAATACTTTTAGATTTACAGAGAAGTTGCAAAGATACATGGAGCGCTTCTGTGACCACTCACCCAGTCCCCCTAGTGCTAACCTTTTATTTAACCGTGAATCATTTGTCAGAAGCTAAGTAACCAATACTGGTAATTACTATTAACAGAACTTGACTTTATTTTTCAGATTGTACTAGTTTTTTAATTAATGTCATTTTTCTTTTCCAGGATCCAGTCTAGGATACCACACTGAATTAGTCGTCATGCCTAATTAGTCTCTGGTCTGTAATAGTTCCACTGTCTTTCTTTTTCATAAACTTGACAGTTTTGAGGAGTACTGATCAGGTGTTTTGTAGAATGTGCCTCAATTTGAGTGTCCGATGTTTTCTTCATGATTAGAGTGGGGTTATGGATTTTTTGGAAGAATACCAGAGGTGAAGGTCCTTCTCACTGCATCATGTCAGGAGTTACATGCTCTCAGCTTGATGGTGTATTAATTTTGGACACTTGGTTAAGGTAGTGTGTGTTGCTTTTTGCTGCTGAAAATTACTGTTTATTTTCCCTTTCCATACTTCTATTCTTTGGAAAACTGTCACTAAGTCCAGTCATGGGAGGTGGTGGGTGGGGAAGATTACATTCAACCTCCTGGAAGTGGGAATATCCATATGTAGTATTGGGAATTTTTGCATATGGGAACTTTGTCTCTCCCTCCCACTCTAATTTGTTTATATCAGTATGGACTCATGTATATTTTGTATTTTGGGTAACACAGTATTTATTTGTTGCTTAAATTGTCCAGCTTGGCTATTAGGAGTTCTGCCAGGTTGGCTGCTATGTCCGTTTGATGTGCCCATCCTTTTGATTTTTGAGCACTTCCTTGCTTTCTGGCACAAGATGCTCCAGGTTCATCTTGTATATTCCCTGCCCCAATGCTAGAATCCCTAGAATCAACCCCTCCTCCAAAGAGCCCTGGTTCCTTTTGTTGGAGAATCATACTTAGAAACCAAGAACTGGGCATTAGATGTGCTTGTTGCTACTGGGATGTCATTGTTTGCAGCAGAATTGAGAAATACGTAGGTATATTAACCCATGCATATGTACACATCTGTAATTATTATTGTAGGTGTGTACACAGCTCAACATGAGTTTGTACTGCTGTCTTCAACTCAAAATTTGTCCCAACATATTATGGCATATATTTAGATTTTGAAGTTGATATTTTCCCAATTGACAGAATAAACTCATTAAAAGAGCAAAAAACCGAGAACTAACTTTCAGCAGCTCTTTGCAAGAAATGTAATATTGATACTTTAAAATAATACTGCCTTCAAATGATGCCTGTCTCTTTAAAATCTTTTGGCATAGTTCTTCCAGGGACAGATATGGCCGTATTTATTTCATAGATGGAAAAACTGAGCACAGAGCTCTAATGAAGACAGAATTGAGATATGAGGGCAAAAGCTAATTAAACACATCTTCACAGGTAGCCTTTCTTTCAGTGAACCTGTAGACTAGTCCAGTAATACTCATTAAAATTAGTTCTTAGAGGCTGGGCATGGTAGCTCAGGCCTGTAATCCTAGCACTGTGAGAGGCCAAGGTGGGCAGATCACTCGAAGTCAGAAGTTCGAGACCAGCCTGGCCAACATGGCAAAACCCTGTCTCTACTAAAAATACAAAAATTAGCTGGGCATGGTGGGACACACTTGTAATTCCAGCTACTCAGGAAGTGAAGGCACAATAATTGGTTGAACCTGGGAAGCAGAGGTTGCAGTGAGCTGAGGTTGCACTGCTGCACTCCAGCATAGGCGTCAGAACAAGACTCTGTCTTGGAAAGAAGAAACAAATTGTTAGCCTAAAACCCACTCTCTCTAAATTTAAAAGAGTGATTATTTCTTTCAGTATTTATAGAAGTATGAGATTATCAGAAGGTGTGATGCACAATGCTCATTATTTTATCATAGTACAAGACAGGTATAACATCTAACAGTAAAGAAGATGGAATCTTTCTATAAAAATTCTGTTATTAATAGTTAACTGACTTCAGTAACTTTGAGGAGTAGAATGAAACTTATTAGGCAAGATCTTTTCACATACACTATGTTGCATTGTTCAACATTCATAGAAATTACTTGCAATATATTGATTTAAGCCTTATGTGGTGACTGGTGCTATATTTGAAGTAGCATTTTTAGTTTGCTGTTTTTCCTCACTGCTTAATCCTACAAAAACCAACCATCTGCCTAAAAAATAAAAGAGCAAAAATGAATCAGTGCAACCAGTATATGAAAAACAATAGTTATTAATAAAACTATAAAGGGATCAGTAGTGTCATCTTTTATATATGTCACAATGATGTTAGACTTTTTGCCTCAGACTTCCTTATTCAGTTTCCATTACATCCTTCAAAAATCTTGTTGACAACTTGACAAACATTTCTTTGTTGGCTTTCAAGTTTTAAGTATAGCAATCAGAATCACAGAAATCTAATATTTCTATGAATTCTGTGAGAAAACAGGTAAACACCAAAATTAGTGACCAAAATTTTTAAGTTGTAGAATTATCTCTGAACTTAACTATATTTCATTCCTATGATAGGTGACAAGCCAAGACCTTCAGTTTCAATAAGTTCCACTTTTATTTATATTTTAAAATAATATATTGCCTTGAAATAATGCCTATCTCTTTAAAATCTTTTGACACACTTTTTCCAGGGACAGAGATGGCTGTTTATTTCATAAAGGAGACACTGAGCGCAGAGAAGCTGTAATGAAGACACGATTGAGATAGGAGGGCAAACCAGTTTCAATAAGTCATTTTTATGGAAAACTATTCAGATATAGGAAGAATCCAGTCATCTTATCAGTTAACTTAGTGTATCTGAATTTTAATGGATTTACTGTGGGAATATTTTTCTTTGAGAGGGAAGAGAGCGCTTGGTAGGATTCCAGTCTATGTTGGTGGTTCTCAAACATGAGTGTGCATGAGACTCACTGGCGGGCTTGTTAAAACACACTGCTGAACCCCACCCCCTGAGTTTCTGATTCACTAGGTCTGGGGTAGACAAGAGAATTTGCGTTTCTAACAAGTTCCCAGATGAGGATGATACTGCTGGTTCACAGACTGCAGCTTGGGAAGTAGTTTAGATAATCTTCAGTGCTGAAAATAACTAATGTACTGAAAGCTTTCTATGGGTTCAGTACTGTCATAGGAGTTTGCCATTTACTGTCTCAAAAACTCTGGAATAGATTTGGACCTTATTTTACAGCAAAGAGTTTGAAGCTATGAGAGGTTAAGTTGCATTATCTGTCAAATATCTAACAGCAAATAAAATGGGGAAGCCATGACTAGAACCTGGGCAGCCTGTTTCCCAGTCCCAGGCACTCAGCCATTTTACTGTGGCTAGCTGTTGCTTTAAGAGGCTAAAATTTAAAATTTTATATTTGTAATTCTGAAATAAGTACCCCAGAAAATGCTCTGTATTTATGTTTTTAGACAAAATCCTGATCAGTGGTGAATAAGGGGAAAAAAAAGGTAGACAAAATATTGTTTTAAAATATATAACCACATAGACTATAGTAGTAACATTCTGAGATGATAAGATACTTAGGGAGAAAAAATGACAAATTCCTTCCATCTGCTCTTTTCAGATAAGTGGAAAGTCAGCCAACTGGAGTTCCACTCTTGTAGAGGGAATGTTTTCAGGACTCAGAGACTCTGAAAGTGAGGCCAAAGGACTGTAAGTTCTGGTGATCAGATAACTCATTCAGACTGGATAAAAGCCAGAGTGTAAATGTGAAAACCCCGAATTGTAGTCAATGGCTAAATATTGAGCCACATGCAAGGCAACTGGGGTAGGTAATGAGGAAACCAAAAAATGCCACTCCTGTTTCCAGTGAGTACAAGAAGATGGTAATAACCAATATTCATTGAACTCTTCACATGGCAGGCAGTATTCTGAGTCCTTCACAGTCACAACCCAATCATCACAACCACCATACAAGGGAAATATGGATATTCCATGTCTTTGTTGCAGAATAAGTTACTAAGACAGTGATTTCTGAAATATTTTATGCATAGAGTGAAATGAACAGTAAATGGTTTGAGTAAAAACCCTTCTTTGATTTCATACTCTATTTAATGACATCAAGACGTGAACCACAGGCAGATGTGGAAGTTATCAAATTAGATTTTTTCTCTCCCAAATAATGGTATGAGATGAGTTCCTTATACCTATTTCTTAAGTATTCCTTATACTTATTTTAATATATTAGAAATGGTGCCTTAACACATTTTAATTTTTTCCCACTCTAAGATTGCTTGCTTTTAAAATTACAAGGTCCAGAGGAATTACAAAAGATAAAGCCACCATTTCATCAAATCTGAAAGCATTGTCAAAGTAAATTTTGTACAATAGCCAACCACCCAAGGAGGAGCTAAATTAAATCCAACATTGAGCAACCCATGGTACCTTGTTAGCACACTGGGTGGTATTTTATGGGTAGGACAACATGCTTTCCCCAAGAAACACCATCGAGACCCTCATCGTTCTGTGAATTTCTGCATGATCCTGTCCCTGAATTAGCTCTGCCTGTGAAAGCCAGATTTGAAAAATCCAGGAGTAACCGGGTGCGGTGGCTCACGCCCATAATCCCAGCATTCTGGGAGGCCACGGTGGGCGGATACCAGGTCGGGAGTTTGATAGCAGCCTAACCAACATGGAGAAACCCCGTCTCTACTAAAAATACAAAATTAGCCAGGCATGGTGGTGCATGCCTGTAATCCTAGCTACTTGGGAGACTGAGGCAGGAGAATCGCTTGAACCTGGGAGGCAGAGGTTGCGGTGAGCCGAGATCATGCCATTGTACTCCAGCCTGGGCAACAAGAGCAAAACTGTCTCACCAAAAAAAAAAAAAAAAAAAAAAAAAATCCAGGAGTTACCTGTAGTTTACTTTGGCCCAAGTCTCCTATACAAACAAAGAGCATTTAAAATAAGTTACTGCAAGTCCTACAAAGTAACTCGCACTGGGGAAAGGACTACACATGAAACAGGAACATATACGCCACCAACTATGGGATACCTCAGAGAGATTCCGAGTTTGGTTCCAGAACGCCAATAAAGAGTCACACAAATTTTCTGGTTTCCCAGTGCATATAAAAGTTGTTTATACTAAAGTGTAGTCTATTAAGTTTGCAATAACATGTCTAAAAAAATAATGTATATACCTTAATTTTAGAATATTGCTAAAAGATGCTAGGGATCACCTGAGCCTACAGTGAGCT